TACTTCTTCTTCGTTCATCCAAAACTTTAACTCTCCGCTTTCAACATCCACCAATTCTATTCCGGTTGCTAAGAATGGTCTTCCCAAAATAATGGGAATCTTAGCATCTATTTCACAATCAAGAATGAAAAAATCGGCAAGGAAATGAACCGATCAACCTTCACCAATGTGTCGTAAAGTATCCCCACAAGATGTTTGATTGAACAGTCAGCCATTAAGAGTCTCATTGTGGTTGCTTTTGGTTCACCCAACCCAAGTTATTTGTATATCGCATAGGGCATCAAGTTGATGCTTGCCCCCAAATCGCATAAATCTTTAGCTAATTGAAGCATGCCAATGGTGCAAGGGATTGTAAATGCCCCGGGATCCTCTCTCTTTTTATCAACTCCTTACTCATAATTGCACTGCAACTATGGGAAACTTAAATTGTCTCAAAATCCAACCTCCTTTTCTTTACGACTAACTCTTTCATGAACTTCGCATATCCCAGAATTTCTAACAATGCCTATATAAGGGGGAGATTAATTGACAATGTCTTAAAAACTGATAAGAATTTCTTGAACTTCTCATCTTCATACTTCTTCGTCAAACGTTGGGGAAATGGGGGAGGTATTTTGGGCAGAGGTTGCATGACTTTTGGAATTTGAACGTGTTGTGTCACTCCCTTTTGTGGTTCTTTGGCAATGCTTTGATGGCTAAGTAACTCTTGTTCCTCCATGCCTTTATCTTCTTCATGCTTTTGAGCATTTTCATTTACCATCACATTAGCTATTGCCACCTTTCCGCTACGAGTAACTACATCCATCCCTCTAGCGTCATCTTCCATCGTCATCTGTGGTTTCAATTGAGCTGATAATAAACTCAATTGTCCTTCAAGTATCTTGATGGGATCAACATGAGAGTTCACTTTACTGTTTAATGATGAAAAGTCATTTTTCATCCCTTTCAACAAATCATCCAAACTTTCAACTTTATCAAGTATGCGTGACAACAAGCCATTCTCCCGGGGACTACTTGCACTCCCTTTTGATTTTAGACTTTCACTCGAGTGAGTATGGTTATCATCATGATCATCTTCCCTTCTCTAATAATTATTTTGCTTAGCCCAATCTTAATAGGATCTCCTTTGTTCTTCTCCCTTGTGATAGTTCCAACCTTAATTTCCGCATCGCTGTAGATAGCGTGGGTGGAAACCCTCCTCATATCTCTTGGAGCTCCAACCTTGATTATCCCCCGGCCTTGAGTAACCGGAAGTAGAACCCTCCTCAACTCTAAACACTCCACAGGTCCCCTTCATGTTCTCTTGTAGAAATTCCATTTGGGTCAACATCTTCTTGATGCTTTCATCCCTCTCTCTCTTTTTCTCAAGTTGTTATTGCGTTTGTCTAAAACAAAATGAAGAGACTTGATCCTTTTGGGTCTACCACGCTTGGTTTATTCTAGTCATGTCATCAAGAAGAAACGAAGCTACCTCAAATGATTGTAACATTATTCCTCCTCATACCAATTGATCAACCACTCCTTTATTAACCAAATCAAGACTTCAGTAAAAATATTGAAGTAACAAATCATTTGGTAACACATGAGTTGGGCATTTAAGTAGGAGTTTCTTACACCTCACCCATGTTTCATGGATGGGTTCCTCCTCCCGTCGCTTGAAACCTTGACTTTCGTCTCTAAGTTTCATCATCCTTGATGGAGGAAAGAACCTTGTATTAAATGCACCTTGTGTTAAATGCTATAATCAGCTTCTCCCATGATGTGATGGAATTGTTTGGTAACTTGGTTAACCACTTATTAGCTTCTCCTGTTAAGGACAATAGGAATAACCGCATCCGGATTGACTCTTGTGACACAGTTTTGAATGAAAGAGGGCTGCAAACCTCTATAAAAAAAATTATGTGCTCATGCGGGTCTTCGTGATCTTGCCCTCCATATAGTCCCCTCATTTGGAGTAAGTGAAGAGTGGTGCTAGTGACTTCAAACATCGCATTCTCATTAGCTTGTGGGATGCAAATTGCACCCATTCCACCCGATTGAGCTGGGTTGTAGACACTATTGATATCGTTTATACCATCTCGATGACCTACTTGGCTATCATTCATCTCTTCTTCACTCATGTTCACTTCTACGTGGTCCAACCAACTCTTACGCAAAGCAACCAAAGCTAATTCAACTATAACCAACAAATTTGAGAGTGTAAAATCTTCAATCGAAGAATTCTAAGTAACGCTACTCCCCGACAGCGGTGCCATTTTGATTTACGTATCAAAACACTTCATCCAATATTAAGTGTCAACGATCGTTCATTAGTAATATAACCCAACAAAGTAAGTTGGGGTCGAGTCCCAAGGGAGTAGTTTTTCCTTCAAATTCAAAGATGAAGTTATGACAACAATCTCTTTAATGAAACACTTGTTACGCCTTTATGGGTTGAGTTTCAAATGTCAAATTTCACGAATCAACACGAAATAAACAAATAGTAAAGTAGAATTTGGGGAATTAACCAACCAATTGTCGAATTTTACTTTAGATAGTGAATGTTTATACTCACAATGGGGTAATTTGTTGTGGGTAGGTCGGGCCTTATATAAGATAACTTTCTTTCAAAAAATTACCTTTTCTATGTTGAATTCTCTCGAACATCAACACTAATCGAAGGATGCCCAACCCTTTGTCCTCATCAAATCCACTCTCTCAAGCTGGAAACAAAGGATAGATTTCATATTTCACTCTCTCGAGCTGAAATCCAGGTAACCCACTACTAAGGATGCTAAGTTTTCTACCTTGGTTTTGTGCCTCTCTCTCGAGGAAGCTCACATCACTATACTTGTTAAACTAAATATGCAAAACAACTTCAAAACGCAACAGCAACTCAGACCCACTTCAAATTAACCCCATTATGTGCAATTCAACAATACCTACTTAGCAAAACTCAACAATTGGCTTCATAGTCCAAACCCCAAGAGAAGGGTTTTAGCCACTCATATCGGAAGTAGAAAAATCAACATCCATCCTCACTCCCATAGTTGAGTACAAAATGAGAATTATATGAGGAAATCAACTAAAAATATTCTCTATTACAAAATCTCTAAGAAACTCTTGCTAAAATCACTTACCAAAGCTTTTGGTAGTGTTTTCTCTCTAAGTAATTTCTTCCTCACATTTCTGAATAACTTTCTCTCTCTAGCCAAAACTAATTTAAACAAGTCTGATGTGTTACTAGGCGAGGTAAGTCGGGTGTTACCGACAGATCGGCAATTCTTCATCTCGCCTTCATTTTTCAATTCTTCTTGGTCTGGCTAATGTAACTTTAGGCGATCCAGGTGGGGATCGCCGAATAATTTCGTAATTCGCCCTTTTTCCTTCTATCTCTCCCAAAAGCACTTGCTTGAATCTTCTTCAGCACTTTTGGCACCAAATCGTAGACTCATCACTTACCTCGTTGAATCAACACACAACCTAGGCCGACCGTGGATGCATCACAATAAATCACATAACTGTCTGAACTATTTGGTAGAGTCAAGACAAGAGTTGTAGTCAACCTAATCTTCAATTTTGAGAAGCTTTTTTCACACTCATCTGACCACTGAAATTTGACCTTCTTCTGACTCTACTTGGTCAATGGGGAAGCTATGGATGAAAACCCTTCAACAAATCTCCTATAATAACTAGCCAAACCCAAAAAACTTCTGATATGTACTGGAGAGGTGGGTCTGGGCCAGCGTTTCACTGCCTCAATTTTCTAAAAATCCACTCGAATCCCTTCACTAGATACCACATGACCGAGGAAAGTGACCGACTATAACCATAATTCACATTTTCTGAACATAGAAAATAAGTGGCGTTCTCTGAGAGTTTGCAGAACAACTCTGAGATTAGTCACATGCTCTTTCTCACTCCGAGATTAAATGAGGATATCATCAATAAAGACAATAACAAATAGGTCCAAATATTGTTTTAACACCCAATTCATTAAGTCCATGAAAGTTGCAGGAGCATTTGTTAGTCCAAATGACATAACCACAAATTCATAATGACCATACCAAGTTCTGAAGGCTGCTTTTTGGGATGTCACTATCTCTGACTCTGAGCTGATGATAGACAGATATTAGGTTTATCTTAAGAAAAAAATAAGCACCCTGAATTTGGTCAAACAAGTCATCAATCCTAGGGATGGGATACTTATTCTTGATTGTCACTTTGTTTAACTGCCGATAGTCAATGCACATTCTGAGCGAACCATCTTTCTTTTTCATGAACAACACTGGAGCACCCTATGGAGAGATACTAGGTCTCATGAAGCCCTTATCTAGAAGGTCTTTCAACTGCTCTGTCAATTCCTTAAGCTCAGTTAGATCCATTCTATAAGGAGGAATCGAAATAAGCTGGGTATGTAGAAGGAGATCTATTCCGAAGTCAATTTACCTTTTAGGAGGAACTCTGGGAAGATCTTATGGGAATACTTCTGGGAATTCATTTACTACAGGGACTGACTCAAGAGTTGGGGTTTCGGAGCTTGAATCCTTAACCCAAACAATATTATAGATATACCCATTGGAAATCATTTTTCTGGCCTTAAGGTAAGAGATAAAGTGACCTATAGGCACTGAGCTACTACCCTTCAATTCTAAGACTAGCTTGTTTGGAAACTGAAACTGAACGATCCTAGTTCTACAATCGACTGAGGCATAACATGAATGTACCTAATCCATCCCTAGAATGATATTGAAATCTACCATTTCTAACTCTACAAGATCTGCTGAGGTGACTTTTTAGGAAACTGTGGTAGGGCAATTTTTGTATACCCGTCTAGGTATAACTGGGTCACTAACTAGAGTAGAGACTGAGAAGGGTTGTGAAAGAGTTTCTGGACTGACACTAAAGTTTACTGATATATAATGAGTTACAAAAGACAACGTTTCCCCTAGATCTAACAATGTATAAACATCTAAATGAAATATTTGTAATGTACTAGTGACCACATCGGGAGAATTTTCCTAGTCCTGGCGATCCTGGAGAGCATACAACCTGTTCTGGTGCTGACTGCCAACACTATCGGACGAAGCACCCTGCTGAGTTAGGCGACCTGCTGGTGCTGCTGGAGTTGTAGATTGAGCCCTATTGTTGTTACCTCCTTGCCCGTACCTCGATGAAAGGAAATTCTTCAACCTATGGCCAGACTGACCACACCCAAAGCACCCTTCCTTGCCTGCAAGACAGTCGCCTAGATGGTTCTTACCACACTTTGGACAAGTTGGGAAGGTCTTGTTACCTGAAGCACTCCCCTGAGATTTAGAGCCTGATGTCCTACCATTTTGATCCTGTCGGAACCTGGGAGAAGGAGCACTATGTGATTAAGGTGTTGGGGCTGTCGATCTTTATTGAAACTGTGAGCGATTTCTATTGCCGGATTTTTGCTGAGAGTATTCATACTTTCGTGTTCTAGCCTTCTTGTTGTCCTTAGTCATTTCCCTAAGCTTGTCATCCTCAACCTGCTGGGAATGAGTCATAAACCTAGAGATATTCATATCCTCTAACAACATAGCATTCCTGCACTCTATCTTCATCAAGTCGGATACCCTAAACAGAAACTTACTCATTTTGCCCTTGGATCAACAACAATGTATGGAGCATACCTGGAGAGTTTAGTGAACTTAAGTCCATACTCTTGGAGTGACATGTTACCTTATCTCAAATTCATAAACTCCTGAGCTTTAGCCTCCCTGAACTCTCTCGGGAAGAACCTGTCAAGAAAAGCTCCAGTAAAACATTCCCAAGTCACAAGAGCTTCATATGTACCCCTGTTTTCTTTCCACTGAGTGAACCAAATGTGAGCCACATCTTTAAGCTGGTAGGATGCCAACTCAACCCTATCATTACTAGTCACTAGCATCACCCTAAAGATTTTCTTAACCTCATCAGTGAAGTTCTATGGGTCCTCACCAATCTGCAACCCTAGAAACTCAAACGGATATATTCAAACAAAAGCACGAACCCTGGTTATTGTTGGCCCAACATTAGTATTAGTGGATAAAGGGCCTGCTGATTATTCTGGTTGGCTACACTCTAAGCCAAAAGTTGGATAACATTCCAAAACTCTACATTCGAAAACCTCATGGTCAGGGACTAGAGGAACTGTGTTAGCGTTGTGGGCATTAGCATTCCTTCTGTAGGATCTATGAGGAGGCAGGATCTAAAACACAGTACGACGAATTAGAAATGAGAAATTGGATCATACCTCACGCACGATAAAATAGGAAAAAAGGGAAGTTTTTCCTAAAACACTTTGTAGCCTCCCTCTCATTAGATGTGGTGCACTTCACACCCATGAAAAGAACTTTACTTAGTGTGGCTTTCAGACATCCTAAGACTTTTGAATCTAATGTTCTGATACCAAATTTGTCACGCCCAGAGGCTACCCCCTTGACGTAAACACGGGACCTAGGATAACGAGTGACCCCAAGTTAACCCTAAACTAGCATATCATAACCATACTAAAGATAACAGAATAAAGAGATACTATGTGAAAGCTAAAACATGAGATAACTGAATGTGAGGAATACCCAATACTGATCTAAATAAATATAAAGCTTACTAAGAGTTTAGTGATACTGAACAATCACTCAAAAACTAAACTTGAGTCTAACACTGTGTCTAAAAAGCCTCCTACTGACTAGAGTTGCTGGGACATGCCCCCAGCTAACTCTAGCAAAACTGAAAACTGAAAGTAAAGGCTAATATGAAAAGCAAGTCTATTGTCCTCGAAGTATGAGGACTCACCACTGAAGTTGTTGAATACGAATTGGGAACAAATCTATGCGTGATCTGGATGCTGAATACCTGAACCTACAGCATGAACATAACATGTTGAGACTGAATACTGAAGTATAAACTGAAAAAACTTGGTCAAATGCACTAGAGTCTGACTGTGGGAGCTATTATTAACCGACATAAAATCACGTGAGCTAAACACAGAGTCCGATGTATATGCCCTATTTAGAGGACCCAATATACCTTTCCATGGGTATAAAGGCATTACTGGCATGATCACTAAATCTGATGCCCACAGAGGAGACGTATAAACATATAGGGGCACGTAGTTTTGGGACTATAAGGGTACGTTGAACCCTAGTCCAACTCAGTGTTAAGTCTAATCCCAACTGTATATGTATATGACACATTATGACTGAAATACTTAAATGTTGAATAGCTTAAAATACTGACATGCAAAATCTGAGAATGTAACAATTATCTACTCACAATGTGACATTCAAAAGCTGAAGCTTGATTATATGTTTTATTGACCTAGCAAGCGTAATTCATGAACTAAGAGAATCTACACCACTAAGGTTCTGAGTTTCATGCAAAGAACTGAAGAACGATTCCACAAAAACATGATAAATTGATTAGGAACACTATAACATCTAAATCACAACAAATATCTAAAGTTTCTAGAAACCCTAGGTCTAAACAAGATATAGGGAATCAAGAGTCTTACTGAATTCTAGGGACCTAGTGGACGAAAGGAATCCACTAGTGAAACCCCACATACCTGGTGATGACTTTCACGGAGAAATCTTTCGATTTCTAGGCTAGAACTAAAGAAAACCTGTTGCGTGTTCTTGAGAAATCTATCGCCTTTTTTCTCTTCATTTCCGCCTCTATGCTTGGTGAATTTTAGAGAATAATAGTTTTGGGCAAGTTTTAATAATTACTAGGCTTAAACTGAGTAAAACGACGTAGTATAGGGATTAAATGACGTGGTTTAGGCGTCCAACACATAGGAGAAAAGACTAAAATGACCCCAGTTAAAATCTGATGGGGGCCTTCCACGGACCCTATGACGGACCGTAAAAGGGACTACGGCCCGTCAAGTGGGTCGTGGTCCTTGGGTAGTGACTACTGGTTCTGGGTGGCCCAACCACGAGCCCTACCACGGCCCGTGTGAAGGACCAAGGACCGTGAATGTCACTGTGGTTCTTCACTTGGGCTGGGGTCTGCAGGTTCAGGTCCACGGATGCCACCACGGCCTGTCATCTAGATCACGGCCTGTGTAGGGCTTTGTGGTCTAATGCCTGAGCCTGGTGAGTTTTGCATGGCTTCCACGAGCCTCCCCACGGCTTGTGTGATGGTCCACGACCCGTGAAGGGTCCTGTGGTCCACCATTTCTGGTTGGGTGTGAACAACAGGCAGGTCGACAGACCGTGGTTCCTTTCACGGTCCATGAACCCTGCTGTGGTTCACTAATTTTCTGTTGTTCTGGTTTGATAAGTTCTGAGATGTTACAGAAAAAAATCCTATACAATTCTTTTAGAATAAATGAAGGGCTAGCCCACTCCAATCCATGGTCCTTTTAAGATTGTGGGGTTGCCATTTAAAGGTCTTTTTAAAGGAAAAATCTATGTAACTAGAGAAACATAAATTTGTTATAAATTCATTGAATAATGGATTGCCCATTTGGTTTATTTTTGAACTTTTTGAACTACCAAATTCATGTATGTATATTCCCTAGGTGATATGAACCCCCCCCCCCCCCCATTTGTATATCTCAACCTATAAATTGAGATATCATTCATCATTCTATGATACACTTGATTATGAAGAAAAGTCTTCTCCTTTATATACTCATATTGTCTTTTTCTCTTTATCATTATATTTTTCTGAGCTTCATTTTATAATACGTTATCAGCACGAGTTTCTATGTTAATATTATGGTGCTTGATAGCAATACAACTAGAAGATTTTTGTACTTTTCCATTCTCAAAATTTCTATTAAAGAAAAAAAAGAGAAACAGTAACGTCGACACACTCCATGACAGAGTTGGCTTGTTCCAAGATACATCCAAATCATTTATCATCATGCTCCTATTATTGAGGGATTAACGTTTCCTATCTATTCTAATTTAAGTTATTTTAAGAGTTAAAGATTAGACTAGTTTATATTACATAATAATGTAATTGTAGTTTTGCAGGAATTGGAGTTGATTAAATCAACTAATAATATGTAAGCTTTAGAAAGTATTGCTTACATTTAATTATTATTTGTCGGCTGTACTGACTATTCGAGAAGTAGTAATATAAAGATTCGATTCCTCCGAATAGTGAGATGATTTGACTAATTTTGTTTGTACATATATTTGAATAAACAAATTCCCTTTTTAATGATTAATAGTTTAAAATTTAGTTGCACTAATTGTATAGTTGAGGTGGTGCAGGAAATTGTATAAATGGAAATAGAGATTCAATTGATATTTGTTAAGAGAAATTTAAGAGGATATGAGATAAGTCCATTTCACTTGACCTACTATCGCACTTGTTAAGAAAAAATCAAGTAATATCGCACCAAAAGGGGTAAGACATCAGATTTGAATCTTGATGCACCATAATGATAAGGTATTGGATTCAAGTCCCACAAAATTATGGCTTAAGACACCTTTATATGGATAAGACATTGAGCTTGAATATCAATGCATCATACTAGTGATATAATGATGACTAAGGTAAAAATAATATATTTTTTATGGACAGTCATGAAATTCGTCCCAATGAATTTGCTCCACTCCATGTAGAAAAATTGGTTGCAATATATTTTAACGTTGAAATTTGCCCAATTGATTGCTCCATTCTATCGTATGAATGTGATAGCAACGAATAATAAGTCTAAAAGATGATAAATGATTGAATGTATCAATAAGGGTATGGAATGACAAAATAATAATCGTCATTATTGTGGTGAAAAGAACATTACAAGTTCTCAAAAAACTTCTTCAAATCGTGAAGGAAATTTTTGTCATCAAAACAATATGAAAGGTCATTGTACATGTATTTCTCGTATGACCTAATGATTTGATAATTTTATAAATCCTCCATCAAAATAAAAGAATATAAAACGGCGGTGCACTTTACCTTTCAAAGTGATGTTGAGGTGGGTCATGTAAATATGTCAAATATGAAAGTATGACATGTATAAATGGTTATGGTCAACTCACGAAGAGACTGTGTATTGTGATAAATATCTTGAATGTTTGCTCATTATTGAAAGTGAATCTGTCAAAATATAAAGGAAAAATATATGAATAAGAACATATTCATGTATGGTTGAAAATATACCATAACTCACCTCTGCGGGAGGTTTGAGAGAATTAAATCAATTTTACTTGGCAGAAATGGTCAATGGTCGTGCATGTTTATACGTCATAAATATTATGGTATATTTACCGTAAAATATCGAAAGGAAAAAAAGAAAGAAGTAATTCTTGCCTATAAAGATTGTGGCCATGACCAAATAATATTATTGTGTGACAATACAAATTTGTCATTGATTGTGTACCTATGGTAAGAAAAAAGTGAAGAAAGAAACATGTCTTGCTTGTAATAATTTTGACCATGAAAATAATAATATAATTTTCTCCATGAAGGAGATGCTCACCATACGAATGATGTCATAAAAAATGTGATAGTACACAAAATCAATTGTAAGCTCTAACAAGTTGTGTTATTATCAAAATAATAATATTGGGGTTGTAGTAAGTCTCAAAAGAAACTTTTTAAGTTTCGAATAAATTGAAAAGAAAAATTATTATATTGAGACTATAAATTA